ATCATCTTCAGTTGGAAAAATTGTACACACCAGTAAATTAATAATCACCCAAATGCTAACTTTAAATTTGAATAAAAATGGAATACAAATAATATTTATTTTCAGGTATTTGCCAGGTACTAGGTACAGGGATAAACAAATGAACATAGAGCTTCTAGCATATAAGAGAAATACAGACCATTAACAATTATAATTGGGAGGAATGTCACACAAATAGAAGTATGGTAGAAAGGCTGAGTTAATCCTTAGTTGCAAAATAGGTGTTATTTTTGGTTTATCGAATGCGGAAACCAAGGCACAGAAGTGATTTATCCTGAGTATCAATGAATATATTCAGATGTAATATTTGAATATCAGGACTTTGACTCCAAGCCATGTGCTGTTTACCATTTCACAGTAAATAGTCAATAAATTAGGGTGTATTGCACTGAATAAGAAATAGAAATAGAATAGAAACCAAAGGGTTTCTTCTTTCTCTATTTAATCTTTTTTCCCATACCTTTATTTAGGTATATTTTACAAATCATAACATTTACCCATCTCAAATGTATACTTAGATGATTTTTAGCAACTTACCAAGGGTGCAACCACCATCATAAATCAGTTTTAGAACATTTTCATCCCCCCCATAAGAACCCGAATTCCTATTTTCAGTTAATTTCTATTCCCACCCCCTGGTCTAGGCAACCAGTAGTCTATTTTCCTGTGTCTATAATTTGCCTTTTCTGGATATTTCATATAAGCAAAATCATACAGTGTAAGGTCTCTTTTGTCTAGTTTCTTTCACTTAGCATAGTGTTTTTGAGGTTCATCCATGATTTAGCATGTGTCAGTAGTTTGTTCTTTATTATTATTATTTTTTATTGCTGAATGGTATTCCATTATATGGATATATCACATTTTTGTCTATTCGTTCATGAGCGGATTGACATTTGGTTGTTTCCAAATTTCAACTATGACCAATAATGCTGCTAAAAACATTTGCATGCAATTTTTTGTGATGATGTGTCTTCACTTAGATACTCAGGTGGAACTGTGGGGTTACATAGTAGTTTATATTTAACTTTTGAGAATCTGCCAAACTGTATTCTAAAGTGGCTGCCACATTCTATGTTCCTACCAGCAGTGTATGAGGGTTCCAATTTCTCCACATCCACAGACTTACTGCCATCTGTCTTTTTGATTATAGTCCTTCTAGCGGGTGTGAAGTGGTATCTCATTTTGGTTTTGATTTGCATTTCCCTAATGACTAATGATGTTGAACATCTGTTCATGTGCTTATTAGCCATTTGTACATATTCTTTGAAGAAGTATCTATTCCAAATCTTTTGCCCATATTTTGACTGTATTGTCATCTTATTATTGGGTTTTAAGAGTTCTTTGAAAATTCTGGATACAAATTCTTCACTAAATATGTATTTCACATAATTTTTCCCATTCTGTTACTTGTCTTTTCATTTTCTTGATGTTGCCTTTTTAACTGTAAAAATCCTGAATTTTAATAAGGTCCATTTTATCCATTTTTCCAGAAATAAATCCTTATATTTATAATCAATTGATTTTTTTCAAAGATTTTATTTATTTATTTGAGAGAGAGTGAATGAGAGAGAGGGAGAGAAGGGGAGAAAGAATCTGGAGCAGACTGCACTGAACACAGAGTCGGACGCAGTGCTCGATCCCACAGCCGCGAGATCATGACCTAAGCTGAAACCAGGAGTCGGACACTTAACTGACTGAGCCACCCAGATGTCCCTATAGTCAACTGATTTTTGACAAATACAATTCACTGACAAAAAGATAGTCAGTTCAAAGATGGTGCAGGAACAACTGGATATCCACATGCAAAAAACGATGAACTTAGATGGTCACTTCACACCATACACAGAAATTAACTCAGAATGGCTCATAGGCTTTAGTGTAAGACATAAAACAATAAAACTTTCAGAAGAAAACAGGAAAGAGAAACTCAAGATCTTTGGTTAGGCTAAGATTTTTCATCGATTCTTGAATTCTTGTCCCGATCAAACATAATACATGTACACACATGTGTGTTTGTATGTGGTATGTGTGCATGACGTAGGTAGGTAACTATATAGCCACCTTTAGTCAAAATGATAAACTATTTTACTGGGATTGTCGACTAAAATTTGAATTATCAATGACATAACTACGTTGAAAACAATATGCAAGGGAAAATGGTGAGCCAGCCAGAACAGAAAATCCAGACTTTGGCAGGTAGCATTTAAGACAAAGATGTGTAAATAGTAAATTAATCCCTTCTTCAAATACTATGCAACATGTCTACCTACATTTCAGGCTAAGAAATGTTGATTACAGGAAGTCACTGACCACTGATTAAGAAGACAATCTCCTATAGAAGGATGAATCTCTATCAGTTACGGAGATGCTGCATACTCTAATGTTTGCAATGATTTCGTAACACTAACATGAAATTCCTAAAGCCTATTACTTTCAACATGTGTAGGAAGAAAGAAATTATTGTTGAAGACTCATAAAGATAATTCATCAAGAGAAAAGTTTTAGATACAAAGCCTCACTTTAAAGGTACTTTCTTCACAACACGTGCCTTCCTTAATACCCATCACCTGTGTTGTGATGAGCACTGGGTGTTATGCGCAAATAACGAATCGTTGAACACTACATCGAAAACCAATGATGTACTATTGTTGGCTAACTGAACATAATAAAAAATAAAAAAATAAATTTCCATTAAAAAGGGTACTTTCTTCTATTAAATTCTATGGATTGCACTTAAAATTGTCTTTTTAAAAAAGATTTTATTTATTTATTTATTTATTTGACAGAGATAGAGAGCACAAGCAGGGGGGGCGGCAGGCAGAGGGAGAGGGAGAAGCAGGCTCCCCACCGAGCAAGGACCCCAATGTGAGGCTCGATCCCAGGATCCTGGGATCATGACCTGAGCCGAAGGCAGACACTTAACCGACTGAGCCACCCAGGTATCCCTGTCTTTTTTTTTTTTTTTAAGACTATCGATTTTTGAGAGAGAAAGAGAGTGTGTGCACGAGCGGGGAGGGGCAGAGGGAGAAGCAGACTCCCTGCTGAGCAGGGAGCCCGATGAGGGACTCGATTCCAGAACCCTGGGATCATGATCTGAGCAGAAGGCAGATGCCTAACCGACAGCGTCACCCAGGCACCAGCACTTAAAAATTGTTAATAGCTAATTTCATATTCAAATAACCACTTTCACCTCTACAAGGGATACACAAGAATTATGGGCATAAATCTTGACCACCTGTGTTCACTGTGAGTCAGTCAGTGCTTTATCTGTGTCTTCCCATGGCAATTGATGGAGCCTTTGCTAAAGCCTGAATCTTGATTTCCTCTATTTCAGAGCAATATTTGTTTTCAAAATGTATTTTCTAATATAATTAAAACTGCATTACTGCTTGTTAACATTTTAATATATTTTCATTATTTTCAGGTACAGCTGGTTATTTATATATCTAACTGTCCCTTTTAGGAAAAGTAACATGTTTCATTGTCTTTTATCCCCTGTATGAGTGGTTTTTAAATCATTGGAGCCATTGGTCAAATGTTGGAACCCTGCCTTCCGGCATCTGACAAGGGTTTTAGAACACAGCAAATGCTTCAGATGTTTTGTAATAAAGTAAATATTCACTTTTTATGTAGTTTTAAAATCACATTTCCCTAGCCCCAAGGTCTAATGGAAGAAAATACACAATGAAATCACCCAAATTATTAAACTAATATTCTAGGAGAGACATATAGGTTTATCATTATTGTAATGAAATGTAACTGTAATGAAAGCTAATTAATGTTTCAATGCCATGAGCCAAGTGCCAATTTTTTTTTTCTTGAATACCTAGTAACACCATGTTCTCTCATTTTAAAGAGATATGCTCTCTCTTCTTACATAAGAGCCGCTATCTAAATCTCTCAATTTAAAAATCAGACTTTTAAAATCCCAGATGAAGTAGACTTAGCTCAGTGCAGACACACAAAGAAGAGCCCCAGACAAAGTTAGCCTTTTTTATCATAGCTAAGGTTACTAACATCTTCTAATAACTACTTATTTCTTGAAAATAAGTAGAAACAGTTTATCAGCTCATCAGAATTTCACATGAATCTGAAAGAGAAATGCTAAGTAGTGAAATAAATGAAGACAGCCTTTTTTAACTTGCAGTTAAGAAGACACTGGCAAAGCACATATACTGTGAAGTGTGCATATCAGATAAGTAAAATGGGCACTTTACAAAAAACAAGTGAACGGAAAAAAAATTCACAAATTCTTTTAAAATACTTTCCTTCTTGCCTAAGATATAACCTAGACTGGTTCTAAATAATTTTCTCAAATACTATCTGCAGTGATCTTTTCAGTTACAGCCCGTCCAGCCCTTCAGCCACCTGGAAACATCCAGTCCCACCTGGAGCCTTATCCTGCCCTCAGGGCCTGGACCAGTGCAGTCCTTACACTGGAGGAATTTTTAGAAGCCTTAGACTAGCAACTTATCTGCTCAGTATCGGAGTGGCCATTTTGCTGATGCTACTCTAATACTGTAACCTAGTTTCAGACTAAAATTTTGTCTTGTTATTTGTAACCAAGCCTCTATCTTGAACCACTAGAAACTCAATCCTGGATTCTTCCATTGTGATCCTTAGTCCTACCTTGGGACCTTACTTAGTATCCTAGTTGGTGCAATATTCCCTGTAATGTTCTGTGGGCTTAGTTTAGAGCCCTACCCTGGAACTCTAGTCTTCATGAGTTATGTCCCCAATATATGCCACCTGATAGCTGTGACACAGACTCTCCTCATGTCTGGATTTCTACCTATTGCCCACTGTCAGAGTCTTCTAGAGACAGGCCCTATGCCTGAGCTAAATTTCTTACTCTAATAGTAACGCAGGTAATACCTCTGTTTTAAAATATTTCTATTCAAACCAGTCCACAGTAAATTTTAAATGCATCACTAAATATTCCAAAAGAAAATATCCCATACCTGTCTGAATGAATCCTGATTTGTATCCATTAGTTGTGCCATTTTCCGGAGTCACAGTTGATGATACCGAAGAGTTTGGTTTCATAGAGTGGCAAGTAGCAGAGGATTGTCGGCTTCTACATTCTGGGAAGGAGTAAGAATCACATTATGGGAGGAGACCAATACTCTGTTAATACAGGTGATGGGAACACAGACCATAAAATCTCTAAAATAAACTGCTCCTCCTTAAATGGCAACCATGTTCCTTATCAGAGGCTCCCCCTCCTCAAATTCTGACTCCAACAGAATGTTCAAGATGGTGAATTCACTTTGTCTTCCTAAGGCCAGATGTCATGTTTAGAAAGAAAAAAAAAAAAAAGATCAGACTTTTGTTCTTCACAGATTAGTTACCAGGGGAAAAATTACTCATAACCAATATAATCATGCTAGTTTTATGGGTAAGACTGAGGCTAAAATATCAGTAATTTATTAGAAAAAAGCAATAAACTTTCAAATGCCAGTTAACCTCCTGTCAGGACCGATTTAAGTGTGGAACAGGAACCTAGAATCCATGTAGAGTTTTTTCAACATTCTCACCTTGACTTTATGTCCAAAAGCTGAAGCAAAGAAAAAAATTTATAGGTAGAAGAGAAAAATTAAAAATGCTCAAATTCTTAATATTCTTACTTTTTATTAAAGGAAATAGATACATAATATTCAAGGTGATTTCTGATCATGCAACACCAAGCTTCATTTTAGGTAAGCCAATATTAATGGAGCTCTCCTGTAATACTTTAAATAATATTTTGAACTGAGTCAGTTAGATAGCAAATATTATGACACCCTGTGGGGCTGTACCTTCCAACTAAATTATACTACATGTTATACTTTATTAGACTTAATTTAAAGGTAGCATGTGAAAAAGAAATATAAATGGTTGCAAATGACAGTTAATTAGAGAGGGTCCTTTAGAGAGTTTCCAAGTTTATCAGATATCTGCAAGGGCTGGAAGCAGTTTTCTATAACCTTCATTGCTAGGACCTTCCTTGAAGAGTTACTGTACTTTGGCCTAAAAGGGTATCTCCACATTATGTGTATTATATGCATATATTTATATCATATGTCTGCATATCTGTATATATAGATACATACACATACACAATTCTAACTCTAAAATAGCAGCTGCTATAAATGTGAGGCCTCAGATGCCTGGCTGGCTCAGCTGGTAGAGCATGCGACTCTTGCTCTCAGGGTTGTGTGTTCAAGCCCCACGTTGGGTGTAGAGATTACTTAAGAATAAAATCTTTGAGGGGCACCAGGGTGGCTCAGTTGGTTAAGTGTCCGACTCTTGACTTCAGTTCAGGTCATGATCTCGGGATTGTGGGATTGAGCCCCACGTTGGCTCTGTGCTTAGCGGGGAGTCAGCATCTCTCCCTCTGCCTTCCCCCTCCCCCATCCCACTCACACATGCTCTCTCTCTTAAATAAATAAATAAATCTTTTTAAAAAAACTATAAAAAATAAATAAAATCTTAAAAATATTTTTTTTAAATATGAGGCTTCAAAAGCCACTCAGAATTATTGTACCTGGCTTGGAATATGCAGCCATTTCCTAAGGAATTATATAATGTCATTTCAAATGCAACCAAGTGTAATTACAGTAGAAGACTTAGAGGAAAATCTGCAGTTGTAATTTGGATTTATTGTGCTATTTCTCATAGGTCAAAATCTTGCACAGACAACAAATGGAAACATTAAAGACAATTATTATATCACCTTTAATAATATTAGTAATTAAGAAAAATCTCAGCATCTAAGTAACTGCTCAAAAATGAAGGATTAGATATTCCATTGCATTAGAACAATGAATAGAATTTGTGGCAAATCCTATCAATCACATGAAGATGTGACGTTTCAACTGGATTCAGTTCTATAAATAAGTTAGTTGAGTTCTTCTTAACTTAAAAAAAAAAAAACTTCGCCAACTTAATAGTGCATTTCCCCAGGTATTGTGAAGAAAGCATTATTTGTTCTAAAGGATACATAGTTCTAATGAAAACAGAAAACTATATATGCATGAGAATTACCGAACAACCTAAAAAAATAAAGTAGAAAGAGCATCTAACCAGGAAAATGACACTTTGAGGTCCTCTCTAAATGACAGAAGAGCTGGAAAGAGTCTGTCTGCCCTCTACCCTCCCAAGAGACAAAGAGACATGCACTTTTTTAAACCCAGACAGTCTCTATTAAAAATAGGAAGAAGCTACTCAAATAACCTGTCAGAGAGCTTTACATCTTTGGATAGCCTTCTGAGCTTGGGAGATTTATCTATACCTGAATTCTGACCCCTGTACTGGCCACTTGTTATTACTGTAGCATCCTCATTCCCTTCCCTTCGGTTTTTCTCCCAGAGGTTGGTGCTACCTTTCCAGCAGATAAGAGGTCCCTTCGACAGTACACCCTGGGAGCTTCTGACTAGGTAGTACTTTAAGTGCTTCTGCTTCTTTGGCTGGGTGGTGAGCTTCAAGTTAATATGGTTGGAAAATTCCGTGAAATACCGAAATCCTCTTTCTCCACAGCCGATACAGTTTCCAGAAAACCCTGAAAGAAGGAAAACCAAAGTTACTGGTGAACTTGTAAACTGATAACAATACTTTTACATACAAAAATGTAGAGAGATATTCAGTCTTTTTGACCCAATAATTTCTTAATTTCAAGTAAAAAAAACCAATTTTTTTAAAGATTTTATTTATTTATTTGACAGAGACAGTGAGAGCAGGAACACAAGCAGGGGGGAGTGGGAGAGGGAGAAGCAGGCTTCCCGCCGAGCAGGGAGCCCAATGTGGGACTTGATCCCAGGACCCTGGGATCATGACCCGAGCTGAAGGCAGACGCCTAACGACTGAGCCACCCAGGCGCCCAAAAACCAATTTTTTAAGCAAAGTTATTTATAAAGACTGACAGTAATTTAAATTCTGCTCTAAAAGGATAATGGTTAAGGAAACAAGAGTGGATAGTATCATGTGATAGAATTCATATGGTCGACATAAAAATATCAAAAAGTTTGGTCCTAGAGATGTCCATTATTCCTTTCCCCCACACTCCCTTCTTAGAGAATCTGCTGGCCCTGGTTCTCTACCCTACGCACCCTGTGGACTTGCCTTCATGGCCACAGCTGATTAGACTGTGCTAATATCTGACCCACTCTGCGACAGTCAGAATCTCCTGGAGTTTTAAAATAAATACAAAAAGAATCAGTCAGAGGGTACTAGACCTTGGATTTGTAAGGTCTTATAAAATTGGAGCCCAAGTTGGGGGTACGTCCAACCGCCTGTCAGCTAAGGGATGGGAGAGCACAAACTGAGAACCATGAAGAGGAAGCTGGTCTGCAGACAGGAAAGTGTGGACAGTGATGGGCAAACCCAGGTACTGCCAACTTTCCAGTTTCTATGAGATCGAGCTGTACTCTCTCACATGAGTTTGCTGAGAGTCCCATTTCCTCTTTCTTCACCTCCCTGTACTCAAACTAGCTTATTATTCCTTTAGATCTAACAACCAAACAATTCTCACTCAGATTAATCAAACAAAATAAAACTTTCAGTGACCTGCTTAGAGCAGGGGACACAGAAAGAAAAAGAAGTGGAGAGGGCTAAGACAATAAGAGGACATGCTTTGCTCAGTTGGAAATCAACTCCCAATACACAGAGGAAAGCTGCACGGAAAGAGCATGAGTTCCTCTCGTTGTGACAGATGAGGACACCACATATGTACTGCCATGTAGCGAACAAGGACAAAAAAGCTATAAATGAGAAAGGGCACTCCAAACTCCATACATACTATATCCTTCTATATACATAACTAACTTAAAATAAATTTACTGGGGCGCCTGGGTGCTCAGTCTGTTAAGCGTCTGCCTTTAGCTCAGGTCATGATCCCAGAGTCCTGGGATGGAGTCCTGCACTGGGCTCCTGATCAGCAGCTCTCCATCTGTCCCTCCCCCTGCTCGTGCTCTCTCTCTCTTTCTCTCTCTCAAATAAACAAATAAATAATCTTTAAAAAATAAGTTTACTGATGAAGTGATACTCTCTTTTTAAACCCCAAAACAACCTGTTACATAATTAACAAAGATCTAGAAAAAGAGAAGAGAAAGGCCCCAGGATTAAAGACAGAATATTTCACAAGGTACCAATCTCAGAATGCTGACAATCAAGTCCAAGCATTTAGAAATGGCAGCCCAATTTATTATTATTTATTCAGCAATTGTTTATTGAGTATCTACCTATATACCAGGCATTGTGCGAAACTGGAAAAACAGAGATAGTTGTAATTTCTGGTCAGTTACATAAAATTAGTAATTCTGTATAATTAGTTTATTACTATTATTTTATAGAATTATAAACATTGATGTAATTTCATAAATTATTTAAAATATATTCAGAGATGGTTTGCATTTGAGAGCATTTGGCTATCTGTCCAATACTTTAGAGCTACAGGCCAAAAAAAAAAAAAATTGTCAATGGCTACCTAGTTCACCAAGGTCACAAGCCATCTAACCATCCATCTCTCCATGCATCCATGCATCTATCCAACAAATCCATCCATCCATCCATACTTATACTCTACCATGTGCTAGGCTAGGTTTTCAGCATGGAACAAAGCAGACAAAACGACTGCCTCCATGTAACTTACATTGAGGTATGATCGTCATGCCTTGATGGAAAAGTGTTTGATTGGCAAGGCAATGTAGCACCCAAATACAGTAAAATGATATAAGAACACTTCAGAAAAATAATTAAAACAGTGCCCCCCAATAGATCCAAGTAGATCTATTGGATAGATCCAAGTAGTTCATAAAAGATTAGTGTGAGAATTAGAATTAACAAATTACAGAGGTGAGGTTTTGTCATTTATCTTTTCTTTTGCTTATTCTCTGAGGTGAAAAGCAAGAGAGCAAAAGTAGGAAGAAAAGCAAAGCAACCAGATAATCTTCAAAGAACAGAAATGGCACATTAATGATGAGAATTAATAATATTAAAGAGATAGAATTCTACAGCTCATTTTTAAAACTCTGTATTGTTTCAGTACTAACCTTGGTTCAAGAGAGATTATATCTGCTCAAAGTTCTTGTTGTTACCGTTGTTGTTGTTATTCTTGTTAATCTTGTTGTTATTCTTACAGCCAAATTACCTTTCTAGTTTTTCTGTCAATCAAGTCTTCCAATTGCATGGTAGATTTGGGACACATGAATGAACTGCCAACTGGATCAATATATATATTGATCCAATATAAATATAGATATATTTTAAAGATTTTATTTATTTATTTGAGAGAGAGAGGGAGAGCACAGAGGGAGAGTGAGAGGGAGAAGCAGACTCCTCCTGAGCAGAGAGCCTGATGTGGGACTTGATCCCAGGACTCTGGGATCATGACCTGAGCCGAAGGCAGACGCTTAACTGACTGAGCCACCCAGGCACCCCCGGATCAATATATTTTTTAATCAATTTCCCCACAGTCTTTTGAATCTGCATAATTTATATAAAAATTTAGACAAATGGATATTGGTGTTCACTGAGATTCTAGTATATTTGAAGCTTAACATTTTTTCCCACTATATCTTAATGCATACTAAAATAATCCATCATCAGTAAGAATGTTGGATGGATATTTACTTTTAGACAACAGAGATTGAACATATAAAAATCTCAACAACATACTTATCTAAGAGAAAACTTCAACCGTTTTGTTGTATTACACTTTCAATTTGGAAAGTGGTTAGTAAAAAATTATGTCCATTCACAAGACTAGAGAAAGTAAGCAAAATTCCATTTCGATAAGGGTATGAATAAATATGACAGAGTGGAGAATAACTACCATGTAAAGAACAAGTGTTCTGTTCTCAGCATGGATGCTTGATGGGTGCTTTGTAAACATCATCATTTAATCTTTACAACCCTGCAAGGTAGGCATCATTGGCCTCTTTCTATAGATGAGGAATCTGAGACCTGATAAGTAGCCTGCTCAAGTTCTGAAAGTACTAAGTGGTAAATCTGGCATTTTAACCTCAGTTCCAACTCCCAATACCTATGGTCCTTGATCTCATATACCTGATTACCTATAATTATGAAATCTATTATTCTGATAGTGTTTGTTGTGTCCTTCCTATGATATATTCTAGGAGGATTCTTCTAGTCATGAAGAATCATTGAATAAGAAGGCATCATGAGAGATTTTTGTGTTTGTAGTCAGAGCCACATATCAATTATTCCATTAGATGACACTATGATGCTTTTATTTAAGTTTATTTATTTATTTTTAGTAATCTTCACACTCAACATGGGGCTCAAACACACGACCCTGAGATCAAGAGTTGCATGCTCTTCCAAATGAGCAAGGCTCCCTGATGCTATGATGCTTTTATTTTTTTATTTTTTAAAGATTTTTATTTATTTATTTGATAGAGAGAAAAAGCGAGAGAGGGAACACAAGCAGGGGGAGTGGGAGAGGGAGAAGCAGGCTTCCCGCGGAGCAGGGAGCCAGACGTGGGGCTCCATCCCAGGACCTGGGGATCATGACCTGAGCCAAAGGCTGACGCTTAATGACTGAGCCACCCAGGTGCCCTGATATGATGCTTTTAAAATGCTAAAAGGAAGTTTCCTAAAATTGTTATAGCACAAGCCAACTAGGTTACTAGTTCTGAACAGCCTACAATGATTTTTGTCACACAGAACATTTGGAACACATAGTGTTGGATAAATGAGTGAACAACTGAAGACTTGGAAACTTCTTTGCTAATGTAGTCCAATGTGTAAACTTTACCATTAGGCTTCCGTGTTAAACCATCTGCTCAAAATCACTAAAAGAAAAGAAAATTAACAACTTTTTATGAAAGCCTTATGGAAATTACCACTTCTTTTCCTGTGAACCAAGAGAATGCTTTGAATTATAATGCAAGGAACCTTTATAAAGCATGGGCAGGGTTATTTTCTGACTCAAGATACTGATGTACGTATTTCTAAACTTTCCAATAATACCGTATAACTAGGAAAAATGCATCAAACTAAACAAAAACAGCTTAGAACCAATACAATTCTTGATTTCTTGGCCCTCTCCTCTCTTTTTCATTTTTATTGTTACTTGTGCCAAAAGCATCTATCTGATGGCATCTACAGTTAGAGAAATTCTGAGAAACTCCAGAGAAACACAGCAGCAAAGAAAGCAACAAAGCTCATGTGACATCTTAATTATTAAAATTAATTAAAAAATAAATCCACTCTTGGGCGCCTGGGTGGCTCAGTTGGTTAAGCGACTGCCTTCGGCTCAGGTCATGATCCTGGAGTCCCTGGATCGAGTCCCGCATCGGGCTCCCTGCTCAGCAGGGAGTCTGCTTCTCCCTCTGACCCTCCCCCCATCTCATGTGCTTTCTCTCTCATTCTCTCTGTCTCTCAAATAAATAAATAAAAAATCTTAAAAAAAAAAATAAATAAATCCACTCTTTATTTTCCATGATGTAAGAAAGCTAGGTTGTGAAAAAAGCACAGACCCAAACTAATACCAGGCAGTAAAACAATTCTGAGATACAGTTATGTATTTTACATCATATATCTCTTCCTAGTTATTTTGGTTGAACTCATGCTAAATATAAAATGAGAATCACATCAATCAAGTGTAGTTAGGAATAATGGGTGGTATGGAAAAACTAGCAATAACTTACAAAGTGGATAATCCACAATTGAATAATTGAGAGTTGACGACATCAGGTCCAAATCAATGACTCTATAAAGAGTGAATCCTACTTTGCTTCACAAAGTATTAATTTTTTAAAAATATTGTTATTGGGGTGCCTGGGTGGCTCAGTCGTTAAGTGTCTGCCTTCGGCTCAGGTCATGATCCCAGGGTCCTGGGATCGAGCCCCGCATGGGGTTCCCTGCTCGGCGGAGAGCCTGCTTCTCCCTCTCCCACTCCCCCTACTTGTGTTCCCTCTCTTGCTGTGTCTCTCTGTCAAATAAATAAAATCTTTAAAAAAAATAAATAAAAATAAAAATATTGTTATCTATTTATTTAAGAGAGAGAGCATGGGAGAGACAGCACAGGCAGAGGGGAGGGGCAGAGGCAGAGGGAGAAGCAGACTCTGCGGAGCAGGGAGCCCAACATGGGACTTGATCCCAGGACTCTGGGATCATGACCTGAGCCAAAGGCAGACACTTAACTGACTGAGCCACCCAAGCACCCCCAAAGTATTAATTTTTGATAAATCTCATGCCATCCATTAAGCCTGGTTTAAAAAAGTCTCTTCAAGATGGGTGTTTTGAGAATGAATAAAAAAATAAAAGGTAATTTTTAAGAAGTTACTAAAAGAAAAAAATGTTCCATACTTGAGTTAAAGTACAGAATTCCCAACTAATTCTGTGATTTTTTAAAAGAAAATTCTGTGATAATTTAAAATAAACTTGTAGTTTAACTCCTTCATCTTAGAAGGGATTTTATAAGTGTGGAATACTCACCTAAAAGTGCATTTTTCCCATGATCATCTGGTAGAAATCGCTTGTCTACAGCACACACTAGGATGTGTTCAGGAAGATTGGGAGACTTGGCCCCCACCAGGAGGAATCCTGCTGGGATGTCAATTTGTTCCATACACAGAGATACCAAACGCAAATCCTTTCCCGCTTGACAAAAACCTAAAAACCAGTAAAAAAGGACACAGTGAAATGTTTGGAAAGGTTCTATCTTCTTATCACCCATCTGGAGAGTGGATTTACCTGTGGGAATCACTATTAAGGCCTAAATTTAAAGTCCATATACTCCAACCAGAAGACAAATCTATCATATGTGCCCCTCTGAGGGGAGCTGAAAAGACACAAAAAGGAGGTATTTCTGACGGGTTCAGTCAACATTGACGACTTTATATTTTCTGATCCACAAGTAAGCAAATGATAAATATACACAGCAAACTTTGAAAAATGTATGTAATTTTTATGTGCATATAATACAGTATTTTTATACTTTCAATGCAAGTTCACTTCTGTAAATGGTGACTGTCATAGAAGAGGGAGGCTTGGGCGCCTGGGTGGCTCAGTTGGTTAAGCGACTGCCTTCGGCTCAGGTCATGATCCTGGAGTCCCAGGATCGAGTCCTGCATCGGGCTCCCTGCTCGGCAAGGAGCCTGCTTCTCCCTCTGACCCTCCCCCCCTCATGTACTCTCTCTCTCTCATTCTTGCTCTCTGAAATAAATAAATCTTTAAAAAAAAAAAAAAGAAGAGGGAGGCTTTCCATTTCACACAGGAAGAGGCTGTACCTCCAGGTTTGGTGGCTTATAAATGAATGGCCAGAACTAGAACCCAGAACTGTGAGGACAATCTTCATGAGCTACAACATGACAACATATGACAAAACCTTACATAACCACTTTATGTACCATAACATATTACACTAATTCATTAGTTCATCATTTATTAAAAATCATTTGCAACAGATACTGCCATAGGCCGGGGGATCGAGTTGAACAAATGTACCTTCCTTTAAGAGCTCGCATTATAGTTAACTGAAAAAATGTATAAGGAACCAATAGTCACAAAACAATATTACAGAGGACAGCTATTTTCTGCTGCAAGGCACCCATTTTACATCTTCTGGGAGAAAATCAGACCTCCCTGAACTCTAATTACATGATTCCTCTTGGAGAATTGTGATATTCTAGACTGACCGAACTGGCACCTGGTCCAAGCTAGCTAATATAATACCCTGCCTTTCCCACCATAGTTGATTAGTCAGGGGCACGTGACATAAACCAAGCCATTCAAAGCCTTTTCTCTAGGAATTCTGAACATGGAGCCAGAGTGTGGCTTAGTTTGGTCTGCGGCAGCTCAGTTTCTTGCCTTGTGAGAGAAATCTGTCAGCACTGTCAGCAGACAGCAGGTTCAGGGGGAATATTCTGGCAGCATTTGGGCCCCTGAAGCCCAGTATATGTGCTTTTCCCATGGTTTGACCGTGAAACATTTGCTTAGGAATTCTTTGAATAACTTCTTCATTCTCTCTAAAGCTAATCTCAGTTGGGTTGGGGTTCACTTGCAACCAAAAGAGGGTGAATAAAAGTATGATAAATACTATTTCAGAGAGTTGTGGAAGATGAAGCATGGACATATAACTCTCTGCATACAAACCAGAAGAGACCATCATTATTGCCCAATACAAAGTAGGGAATAAACCATGCTAAATTCTTCCAATATCGATTCATTGTATGATGTTAACCAAATGCCAACAAACAAATGGATGTGATCAGTTAGTATATGAAAAATAATAAGAAAACAACATCCAAACATATGGTTTGGCTCATCAAATCTCAAAAGCAGACATAATGGAATTGGAAGAAGTCAACAGAAGAAAGACTAAGATGATATGACAATGGGGTTAACCATTTCAAGCTTACAGGTCCTCTTTTAACACTAAAAACTTTCAAATTCAACTTTAGTGCTTGTGAACTGAGAAAAACAATAGCAGAATGTTACTGTAAATTCTTTAACAATTTTGAATGAATCTATATTTTATTATTTACAATATCACCTATATGTATTTGAAAAACAGTAATTTGTACATGTGAATCATATTGTTTATTTAGTTTACAAACATTTTGGGGGAAACTATGGATACATAAAACCCCTAAAAAAAATTCTGCTGCCCTCACCCCATTTAAGGGACAGGACTCACAGGTTTGAAAGTGGGGAAATGATGATGATGATGGTATCGATGGCAGAAAAACATATGGAGCACTTAACATAAGCCAGGTACAGTGCTAACCACTGCATAGATTATCTTATTTAATCCTCTCAACAATTACCAACTCCTTCCAAAGATGGAAACATTGAGGCTCAGAAAGGTTAGGGAACTTGTCTAAGGTTACATAATGAGCTCAGTAATGTCAGGGATATAAGAGATGGGAAGTTTACTATATAAAAACAGACCAAAAAGGGACACCCGGGTGGCTCAGTCATTAAGCGTCTGCCTTCGGCTCAGGTTATGATCCCAGGGTCCTGGAATCGAGCCCCGCATCGGGCTCCTTGCTCAGCAGGGAGCCTGCTTCTCCGTCTGCTGCCACGCCCCCTGCTTGTGTGCTCTCTCTCTCTCTCTCTCTCTCACACACACAAAAGCAGACCAAAAAGTATACTACTAACCTTGGCAAAAGAAAAGCTAAAAACAATTATAATCCAGATCTAAAACCATGAGAGGTAAGCATAGATATTTAACCAAATTCTAAAATATTACATCTAGGAGGCATTTTAAAGTGCTGAAACACTAATTTCTTTAATCAAAGGAATTATTAATTTGTGTAGACAGTAAACCTAGAAACACATTTCCCTAAGAAATAGCACCTTCATCATGACTTGCTCCAAAAGGCAGACCACATATCTTCCCAAAAGGTATAGATAAATTCAGTGATGAGAGGTTCATGATTACCTATTGATGGAAAACAGGATGCTTGGGGAGCTGTCTTTGTCACTAAGAAGTAGTAATACAACCTTTCTACAACTTTGACTCACACCACATTAGAAGGAATGGACTGGATGAAATGATGAATCTGTACCAATTTATATGAATTTGCAAATTATGAGCTTTTTAGAACATCAGAGCTATACAAAACCTCAAGATTATCTGATACAGCATCTCCCAACAGGTAGTTATCAAACTCCCAGGGATTTATAAAGGTATTCCATGATACTTGGAATTATAAGTCAAACTCAAATAAATACCATTACCAGTTTCTAAAGACTAATAAATAATCATTCTAATATCCTAGTTTTAAAACAGAATGTTCTGAGGGCCTTCCCTGCTACACTTAAAAGGATAGTGGAAACCAGCTGAATGAACTCAGGACTCATTTGTTTGAACCATGTATCAGTATGTGGCTTTGATTTTCACACAATTTTTTAAGATTTATTTATTTATTTGACAGAGAGAGAGAGAGAGAGACAGCGAGAGAGGGAACACTAGCAGGGGCAGTGGGAGAGGGAGATGCAGGCTTCCCGCAAAGCAGGGAGCCTGATGCGGGGCTCGATCCCAGGATCCTGGGATCATGACCTGAGCGGAAGGCAGACGCCTAACGACTGAGTGACCCAGGCACCCCCACACAATTGTTTTTTTTTTTAATTTTATTTATTTATTTATTTATTTATTTGAGAGAGTGAGACTGGAGAGAGAGCAAATGAGAGGGGGGAGGGTCAGAGGGAGAAGCAGACTCCCTGCTGAGCAGAGAGCCCAATGTGGGACTTGATCCCGGGACTCCAGGATCATGACCTGAGCTGAAGGCAGTCGCTTAACCAACTGAGCCACCCAGGCGCCTCCCACACAATTGTTTTTATTATCAGCCATATGTATTGATATGTCACTTAATTTATGCTTGTAATACACTGCTGGTTAATGATGGGAAGCTCAGGGAGCACTGATTGTGTAAATAAGCACAGTCATTTTATAAATGTGTCTAAAGATGCTCTTGCTAGAAATGAAAGTTAGATTCAATCCCAACACCACTCATTAAATTATAAAATTATATAAAATGCACCAATATGTTTCCAGGACACCAAAAAAAAAAAGGAAAAAACAATGTTAAAGGTAAAATTTAGAGGTTATAATCCAATTTGGCTTTTCATGTAAAAGGGAAAAGCTGACCTCATTCTGCAGCCTTTTCAGGAGCAGAAATTCTGCAAGCATCAGCCTGAAACCCTTTCATCATATAGAGCAAAAATGCAAAAATTATAAAAATATACTACTATACCTTTTTAATCCTAAAATATAAAAATTCCAAAATTTGGGCATTAAAAGTAGATTTTGATTTCCTTTTTTTTTTGATGCCAGAAAACATTTAAATATACTCAGCCCCCTGAAAAGCTATATTTTATTTTTGAATTTGTCAATGAAATATGCTTTTTCTTACACAATTAACTGAATAAATAGTAATTACTGAACAATTAAATGTAGACAATTTTTTTCTCATATGCATGAATAAGATCAGAGTATATTAACATACTGGTCTAAAATAAATACTTTCTACTTAAAATCAATTCTTTACAACATGCCATGTAGTGACAGAATTAGGTTTTAAATTCCTAAGGAGTTCAAAAGACTACATAGTACTATAAAAGAAATTTGTGAGTCAAAGATTGGGTAGTACTAATCTATTTAGTATGTAAATGAGGATACGAGGGCCCATAAAGGTTAAGAAGATGGTCTAAGTTCAAATAGTAACTGGAAAAGGTGGGACTAAAACCTGTCTTGACTCTAAACTGATGCTCCCCCATCACTGACATTAACATCTGATTCACACATAATGCTTCACCTTCCTTTGATCTGATGTAGGAGGACCCTCTCCTATTGTTTCTTCCTTGCCTATTTTTTGGCTAAGGCCTACTACCCAACTTTCTAGCTGAATCCCAGGAGGCACTTTCCACACCAGTTCCTGCCTGTGAGCCATGGTCTGTCGGCACCTACCTACCTCATACTTGCTGATGAATCCTTAACATTCACTGTTTTTCTGATGAGATTTCTAAAAGCAGTACATTGCAGCAAAGGGAAATCAAGCGGGAAAGTACAATTTTGATTCTGGGCTTAACAGATAGAGTCAAGAAGACATAGTGTGGAGAACACCTGAAGAAAGCAGGATTTTCTACAGAAGAAAGATGATTTCAGA